CCCCAAAACCCCAAAACCCCAAAACCCCAAAACCCCAAATTCCGAAATTTCCACTGACAATATAATTTAATGGAGAAGGATTCAGAATTATACAAGTTATGGTTCAAAACTCCAATGGGTGCATTAGGTGATGAGTTTTATAACTGAAAGGACGGAAAAGAGAAAGACTTCCACTTTGTGTACTCGGCAGATGACTTTATAGGACTGTACTTTGGGGATTATATGACACCGGCTAGTTTGAAGTATACGCCTAAGTTGTGTGATTTTTATGGGCAGATTAATGGGAGGAATCATTCTATGGAGATTATTTATGTCTCGTATGATAAGAGTTATGCTAAGTATAAGTAAGCATTGTGATATGATGCCCTGGGTCGCAATACCTTATAAGGATCCGAGGTTAGCGAAGATAAAGCAAATGGCGAGATGCCAGTCTTTGCCGTGGCTTACGGTTTTGAGAAAAGATGGCTCGATAGCGACTTATGATGGCATTTCATTGATCAATAACTTTGGAATTACTGCATTTAATCAGTTAATGAAATCTGAAGGAGGATTCATGAAGACTTATGAGCCTTTAAAAGTTGCTTTTGATTATTTTGGAATTTTAAAAGATAAATATAAGCAAGAATTAGATGATAATGACGAAGAAAATAAAGACAAATGGGATGATCTCCCAATCCGGTCAGGCCTCGCTCACTCTGCAATGAAAGGAGAGTTGCCTCCTGCTTCTGAGCATCCTTATGACAAAGAGACTTTTGTTCTTAAAGACCCAGCAAAGAAAGCTCCTATCAACTACGATGATATGGTGATTCCAACAGTTGCAACTCAGCATAAAAAGGCTATAGGTATTTTTAGTATAGACTAACATTTAGGAACATATGAGGAGCAACAGTTCGGAGGCTTAAAAGTCACAGAGGAAGATATCGCTAAACAACCCAACAGTTCTAAACTCCTCTAATTCTTTTAAATTGTCAATATTTCTATCTTTCAAGCCTTATAAATATTTAAGGGGTTTTGGGGTTTTGGGGTTTTGGGGTTTTGGGG